ATGACTAAAAAAGTCCAAGTTCAACCTTCCAAAAAGAAACAGTCTCCGGCTGCTACAACCTGCAGATGAAAGAACACAATTATCTTATACTATATCAAACTTTGCAAACCTACCTTGCTTTTAATATTTTCACACGCCGTACACTAACAAATCCAATGTGATCTCTTTGGAACGTGGATTCTTTCTTTCTTTGGTGTTTTTGGGTGTAAGGGTCATGCTTATTATCCTTTAAAATTAGTTCTAAAATATTAGGAAGTAAACCATAACATGGGGTTATTCCTAGTATCTACGATATTTATCTAAATTAACACAGGTCAATGAGTCCTTTCGGACAGCGTGGTTTGTTAATTGTTACCAGGTAAGGTACTTGTTTTCCAATGGTGATTATGACATTCCCAGTAATCACGTTAGCCGATGGTGGACTGTGATAGTTGCGTAAACAACAATATTGGATCAAATGGTCGATCCATGCGTTTGTGCTTACATAATGATAGAAAGAGTCAACTCCTCATGTTTCCGATGTTTACTTGGTCACCATTTTATCGGGAGCTAACATACATAAATTAATCGAGTGGAATGCGCGCTTCCGTACCAAGTTGGGGACGAACTGGTAAAGGGTAGCCACCGCGCACGCTTTACTTTTGAGTTAATCAGGTCAAGCTTCTGTCTATCAGTACAGTGAGGTAAGCCATTTGGTTGCCTGCTCGCTGAATTTTTCAGACGATATCCGCAGTTCATTAACGTCCTGCTGCGTCAGGTAGCGACTTTTTTTTTTTGATCAATCAAGCATTTGGCTGGGTCAGCAGTGTTGACCTTGGCATTTCGCTGGTACGGCAGTGATGCGCGCCTATTTCAAAATATAAAAAAGAATGGAAAAAGGGGCTGTGCCTGCACCCCCGCCACACCTAACCGTGTTGAAACAAAAATTTGGGTCCAGAGGTAAAGAATCACTACCTGTGCGAGTTACCGGTTAGCAATATCTTACAGGGAAATCCTACCTATCACTGCTGGTTGAAGCTTCGAACCTTATCACTGCCGGTTCCAAAGCAATGAGCAGTGATGTTCGATAGTGATTTTATATTTTGTAGTGGTGGATTACGCCAATGTGTCAACTGTAATAAGACACATTATTGGGGATGGTTACTCATGCTTTATAAGAGAACTTATATAAAATAAACACCAGTTTACTCTAGTGCACAACTTCATCTCACTGCCGGTTCAACTACTACATAGAGAACCCCAATGTGAGCTGTGTTAGCGGGTGCTATCTCATCCCTTATTTCTCGTACACTAGTTGTCCATCATACTTGTTTCACCGTCTTGTTTGTCACATCCGGTACTTGGAACACCTTTAGGCTAGCAACCAGAATAGTTCCACCCTCCCTGATCCCATCAACAAGGGAGGCGAGCTGCCGTGAGCAGGCCGAGCGCGCGTGGGGCGAGCTACAGCGGCGGGACGACGAGCACGCGCGTGGTGAGCTGCATCTGCTGGACGGCGAGCGCGGCTGCATGGGCATGCTATGAGTGTGCAGTGGCGATAGTGTTAGCAGGCGGGCAGTGGCGGGGCGGGATGACAGCACTGTAGTCATCAACCACGATGGCGACGTGGGGTGCTCGTCGTCGGTGAAGGGACCGACGAAGACCTGGTGAAGGGACCTACGAAGACCTTAGCACCTGGCCTGCGCCGGCGGCAACGCGAAGCAGCGGCAACGGGATGTGGGATGTGGGATGGCTGAGGGTGGAGGTTAGCGGCATGAAGGGGCATGGGCAGGCCGTTAGCGTCAGTACGGAGGTCTGGGAGGCACCGGTGCAGGGAGTGGAGGAGGCATGGCGGCGTCGGTGTCGGGTGTAGGGCGGGGCATCGGACGGGGCTGGGTTCGCGAGGATTTCGAGGTTTTTGTTTTACCCAAGAGACTTTTGCATTCTTTTTTTGAAAAGCTGAGCGGACCAGTTCGGGGGGAAAGGATGAGACAAGGACGGGCGTAGCTTACTTGGGGGTGAAGCGAAGGTATGTAGCATGGCAGACGATATCTGTTTCATATTTTTTAGTTGTAGAAGAGAAGAGATGGACCACCTGCTGGTTTCTGCTTGAGATTGCTTGGTTTAACGATAAAGGAACTCTATAGTCTAGATTAGAAGATTAGTTTCCAATCAGCGGTCCAATTCAGCTTCTTAGTTGGAAACAATGAAGGAGTGAGGGAAAGAATTACGACCTTTAAAATGCCTGAAGCAGGCAGCGAAAAATGATAACTTTTAAAATGTATTATTCACCCGTAGCAACACGTATGGCACCTTTCCTAGTATATATAAAAAGTTAAATATTTATGATACTAAATAAATATTATTAGATTAGTTATGAAATATATTTTTGTAATAAATATATTTGGAGCTATAAATATCAAATAAATATTATTAGATTAGTTATTTAATATATTTTTATAATAAATTTATTTAGATATATAAATATAGATACTATTTTTTATAAACTTGATCGAACTTAAAAGAGTTGAAGTCAATTTAATCTAGAATTGTTTTTTTTGGACAGACAGAGTAGTACGCCACCACTCTCACCACTCTGTACCTAGAACTCAAGGTCTTCGTAGAGGCCTTGTTTCGATGTGATTTTGAACAATTGTAGTACTGGTAAAAAAAGAAACTTTAGTTTTATAGAATAAGAGAGGTGCAAAAAGGCTATAGTTTTAGCAGTATCTTTGTTTTTAAAAATACAAAAATTGGTACATCTAACACCTCTAGTTTTCTAAACCAAAGCATTTTATAAAATTATGGTAGTTTTCTAAAACAACAAAAATATTTTGTATTCAAAGTAGGGATTAAGAGAGTTGGGTGCAACTACGTTAATTAGAAAAATGAGCGAGAATGATAAAGTTTTAAAGAGGGTTTTAGAGTTGCTCTTATTAAAACATCGTTGAGGTTTAGTTCCTTATTGGCAACCTACGTCCTTATTGAGGCGAGTCTTTCAGTAATTGCTTTGTGCGCTAAGCAAGCCTTCTCAAGCTTACCATTAATGTGGGTGTTGCAAGAAGCCAATCAACCAAGAGCTCTCCAACTACCCTCAAGCATTCTTTCACGAGATGATGGCCAGGGAACAACTTCAAAATGCGTGCTTCGGGGAGGTGATTGATCGAGGCGGCTGGATATCCGAGAATGTGCCATGCATCGAGATAGGGATGAAGAGGGAGCTACTCTGTTGGCTGGCCTTGAAAGGCGGTGGTGTTGCCTAGAGTTCGCAAGGGGCAAACACACGGAGATAGCGTGAGCAAGGGCGAGTGGAGGGATTAGAAGGGGGAAAACAGTTCGCTCACTTGGCATTGGCAGGCTGGTAATTTCGAGCAAAAGCTCGTGAAAGCTGCCTAATATCAGCTTTCCGGCTTCATGTGTAACCTTGGCTTTTATGGGCTTTCTACCTCCTAAAAGCTGGCCTGAACAGCTTGCTAGCTATTTGTTTAGCCTTTTAGCTTCTAAGGTCCAAAAGCACCTAGAAAGCTCAAATAAACATAGCCTTACTTAAGGATGGAGGAGGGGACACTAGTAGAGAACAGACCTTTCATCCGAGGTCAAAATGAGCTGTAGTCCCGGCATTTTTTGCGCCCGGGACTAGAGAGACCTTTAGTCCCGGTTGGAGACACCAACCGGGACTAAAGGTCCCTGCCCAACGGCTACTGCGCTCGGCACAGTGGCAGAGGACCTTTAGTCCCGGTTGGAGATACCAACCGGGACTAAAGGTGGACCTTTACTCCCGGTTGGAGCCACCAACCGGGACTAAAAGTCCTCCAACCTTTACTCCCGGTTGGTAACACCAACCGGGACTAAAGGGTGACCTTTTAGTCCGGGTTGATATTACTAACCAGGACTAAAGGACCCTTTAGTCCCGGTTGGTAACATCAACCGGGACTAAAGGTCTCCCGATGGGTTAGTTCAAAAGGAAAGCATCCCATCTATTGTTAGATGTGTTGTGTAGGTGGGGTGGTAAGCTACGCGCGAGGCAGTGTATGAGGTTTTGGGTTCGAATCTCACGGGACGCAGCGGTGGGAGGCATTTTTTTTAAACTGGGAGGATCTTTAGTCCCGGATGTGGCAAACCGGGACTAAAGAACAACATCTTTAGTCCCGGATTGCTAGTGCCGGTTGGGAAACCGGGAGTAGAGCTAGTTCCCAACCGGGACTAGATCTCATTTCTCCACTAGTGGGAGGGAGGGCTGAGCCAGCTAGCCAGAGGTAGATTCTACCCGGGGTATCTAATCTACGTGGTGGGGAATACATAGGTAGATATGTATGAAAATCGATTAGATTTGGACTATTGTAACCAACTAAAGAAATATATCTGTAAACCAATTAGGATCCGATCTATGTAACTCTACCATGGGACTATATAAGACGGGCTATGGAGCCCCTTGTGATTGGTACCTCGTCTGAGGACACCATAGCGCATTCCATCAAATAATACAGAAACAATGCATACACTAGATGTAGGCCCCCCTATCCTAACCCAGTATAATTTGTGTCGTGTGGTACCCATCTGATTTGCTACACGTGATACAGTGGTAATAACACTGACATATATGCCTGAAATTTGGTATTATTCATAGATAGAGAAATGTGAATTCATGAAGGTTATTGCATGATGGTTGACCGCCACACATTATTTTCATGAGAGTATTTATATATTTGTCATGTATTTTCACTCTCATGAAAGTTTAACTTTCGGGTAGTTAGATGCATTAGTCAATCCATGCACAGTACAATATGTACGGAAGAGGTGATAGTGACATTAATGGTATTACACGCAAAGCTTATTATTCAAAATTTCCACAGAGGGTAGCGCACTAACAGCAGGCAGGTACAAAATAACAACCGAAACAATGAAACAGCTGCCATATTATTTTACCTCTCTTAGCATCAAAACTAAAAACATGTAGTTGTATTATTCGAAGTGCATGTAAATGCAGTAGTCTTTCGTACGATAAGCCACAAGTGATTTATTTAGTAGTGGTTGTTCTCCCAGAATTGAGCCTGGAGCCAATCAATCGTCCCCTTCTCCACCTGGAAAGCCTTGGCCAAGACATCATCTGAAATCGGTGGCTTTGATCCAAAGACCGCATTGGCGATGGTAATAACCCCAGGGTTTTGGCTGCTGAGTGCCGCAATAGCAACGGCTGGCTTGTCATAGGCCGGGTTGAATTGAAAATGGATGAGACCTTCAGGGAATACAAACACGTCACCCTTGTTGTGCACCTTGGCAAAGAGCTTGTTTGGGTTAGAGGTGACAAACCCGACATACAGGGTCCCCTCAAGAACCGTGAGGATCTCAGTGGCACGTGGGTGGGTATGTGGTGGGTTCTCACCAAAGGGTGCATAGTCGATGCGTGCTAGAGAGATGCCAAGAGTGTTGAGGCCAGGGAGCTGCATGACGTTGATCAAAGTGACATTGGACCCCACCTTGCTCTTCATGGTGTCCCTAGGCTTATCCAGGTTGGCTGCTTTGAAGAAGTCGTCTGCCTTCTCTGCCATGGGATCCTTGCAAACAAATCCATTCACCTTCACTGTACACACAGACGAAGGAAAAAATACATTTTTCTCAGAAATTAGGTAGCACATATAAATTCTTGTGGTACAAAGATGTGTGCTCAAAAAATTGATTACTGATTCCGTGTTCAATAGGTTGGTACCAAAGATGAATCTAAGTGCATACATACCAGGAGAGTGCATGTCAGCAACACTTCCTGGAGCGGGCTAGGATCGGAAGCGATGGCGCATGAGAAGTGACCACTGCTAGAAAAGCAGCAAGAAGTAAGTACGAGGAGGCAGCCATTTTGTTTTCTTCTCTTGCTTTTAGTTATGTTGGCACTCTCTGCAGTCGGCTAACCACCAGCTGCTTGCGTTTGTTTTGGTGATGCTTTGGCCAAGCAGGGAGACCGAAACGTGGCTTATATAGCCGCAGCATGGTGCCGCCGGTGTGAACTTGAGCAACTGAACAAGTCAAGTTTTGTACCATCCAACAGAAGAACTAGTCACTGGTTGCTAGAACCTGCTGATGAAAGAAGATAACTTTATCGAGCTTTCAAAACAATGTTGTAAGTTGGTTACCCTTTTCAATTTTAAAGATGAACTTAAAATTTTTAGGGAGAAATGTATAAAGTTAAATTAATTTCTATAACCATGATAATAATTGAGGAGGCCATAATCTGGTAAATGCTTTTTCATGAATACCAGTTAATCAAACCATACTGTCTACAATATAAGCTATTTCCATACATATGGTTAAATTGTAGAAGACATTGGCGGAAGCTCATAGGTGGCAGATTGTGATTGTTGTGTAATAAGGCTCGCTTTGCCAGGGCTCTCGAGAGGCGTTGGCTCTTGCTTATCTGCATTCCTAGGTAACACTAGCCCAGATCTAGACATCAATGTCGGTTCAAAAACCCACTTCACTACCGGATTTTGAACCGACAGTGGCATACCGACAGTGATGGGGGGTTGACATCACTGCCGGTCCTTAAAAACGACACTGATCTACATGAAACAGTGTCGGTTCCTAGCTCCACCCGGCAGTGTCCAGTTGAACAACACTGCCGGTTTGTAGTGCCAACCGACAGTGACGGTTGCTTCAAGAGTGTCGGTTCTTGGCTCAAGCCAGCAGTGTTGAGCAAGCCTACACTGTCGGTTCATGGATCAAACCGGCAGTGTTGTAGTAAATATTAGTGTCGGTTCATGGATCAAACCGGCAGTGTTCTCGTAACTACCAGTGTCGGGTCATGGTTCAAGCCGACAGTGTTGTAGTAATTATCAGTGTTGGGTCATGGTTCAAGCCGGCAGTGTTGTAGTAAATATCAGTGTCGGTTCATGTATCAAACCGGCAGTGTTCTCATAACTATCAGTGGCGGTTCATGGTTCAAGCCGGCAGTGTTGAGCAAGCCAACACTGTTGGTTTCCTTCTAACCGGTAGTGATGGTTACAACAACACTGCCGGTTTGTTGCTAACCGGTGGTGATGGTCCATTCGTATTTTATTGTTTTATAATTTATTTTAATTTATATTTTTTCATGGAATCGGGTTTCGCTTTATATACGCTACATAGACGACAGGTCCATCAATATTAAACATTACAAATGTTACGATTACAATTCAAATGTTCTTATCCACATCTCGATCCCTCAAAATAAAAAAGAAATGTTCTTGGACTTCACACATGCTTCTCGAACTTCCTACAATAATCTGGTGAGCCGCTCTGGGCCATACTGGTCCTTGTACTTCATGGATTGTGCAATGGAAAATACTCCATCTTTTTCCAATACCTCGGCTAAGATGAATTTTGCCAGCTCCGATTGTAGTGCGACGATCTCCATGTCTAGCAGCCTTCCGTGCTTATATTTCTTGCTCTGTCATTCAAAAAAGATGATATCCAAAGAGGAACAGTAAATTATTTTGTTGAATTATTAACAGACATAAATGAAATGGAGATTATGCACACCAACTTATCGGCTTCTTCCGATTTCCCGCCGATGTAGTGAAGCATTGCCCATATTACATAAAACCCGCATTCATTGTTTCCCGCCGGCTGTGATAGGTACTTCGCCTCCATTTCGACAACCTTGAATGGGACCGGCGTCCCCCCGATATGTCTTCTTCGGACACTGAGCAACATTAAAAGGAGAAACATTAGAAAGCGGTATGTGTGATTAGAAAATAATAGTTATTAAGATCGCTTACTAATTCAGCATTGCCACCAGTGCATCCAGAAGATGAAATTGTTTTTTCTTCGAGTCCCACACCTCGAGCAGACTTTTGGCAAGATTAACACAAATGAAGACGAAATGGTTGCTGCAATCACAAAATCCTAATTATTGAATAATCTTAACGAAAAAAGAAGCATAAAATTAAAAGCCAAGAACACATACTCGCAGTTGTAGGCTAGAAGTATGTGGGTTTTCTTCTTCATCGTGAATTCGTCGAAAACAGCAATCAATCTCTGTTTCAGGTCTTCCACGTCACATCCATAAAGGCCTAGACATGTCCTCTCATTGACTCGCATGGGGTCCAAAAAGCCTATGTAATCCCATTTGCTTTTTAGAATGCAAAATTTTGCTATACACCTACATAAAATCATGGAAAGTGCTCAAAAGTTAACAAGTTATGTCTCGAGAGAGTAGTTAATTGTAATATCTTGCGTGTATGGTACTTACACAGTCCACAGCGTCAACATTTGAACATCGAGAGGGCGTTTCTGGTATAGCTGGAACAAGCACTCCCACTCAACATAGAACTTCTCTTCTTCAGGATATTGGAAAACATGTGGCAAACAGATAATAACCTCAAAACCAAAGTCGTCTGTCTCTGCTGCTTGAGCAATGTAATATTCATGTAACTAGCGCATATATGTTGTCAGATTTTTATACTCATAATCGGGAACCAAAAGATTGCCCCTTTCATACTTCATTGCCGGTGTTCCCGTCCCTTGTACATCATAATAGATGTTCGCGGCCTCTTCCATGGTTAAATCTGGGTTGTCTTCGACTAACTTCATAATGTTCCTTAAATCTTTATTGTGTATTTCTTCGTCTCTTGTTGTAGCGTATTTATTCTGTGTTTGCCTTTCGAATTCGGACTTCAACAAAAACTGAGGCAGTGAGGCACATAGATTGAAGAAACTAACACAATCTTCCTTAGAGATGTGTGCTGTAAATTTGTCTTTCATCAACGTGGTAACGCTGCCACTGAACGACCTTTTTCTTTTATGTTGGTCCACTTTGGGAGCATTAGCGACTGAATCCAAGGACCTTTTTTGTGACTACGAGGATGTCCTTGATCTTGTTTTGGGCTGAGGTGGAGGAGGAGGATGACGACGAGAATTCTGTTTTCCAAGCGCTGATGAAGATGGAGGAGGAGGAGGAGGAGTCTCTTTTCTTGGGGCTGATGAAGATGGAGTCGGACGAGGAGGAATAGAAGGAGACCTCTATCTTCTCGGGGGTGATGGCTTCGATGAGGAGGGAGTGATCTCATTGGGCGATGGTGAGTGATCATCGTGGGTGGGCGAAGACTCGCTGTCGTCCTCATCATCAGAGGACAATTGGTGGTCAAGCTTAATGAAGCGCTTGCGCCAGGCGACTTGAGAGCCCATGTTTTGACCAAGTTTCGGCCTGTCTTCCGCTACAGGGTACTCAATGGGTATCTTGTTATACTTCTTATCAAGTATTCTGTCAATGGTGATGCGAGCGTACCCAAGTGGAATTGGGCGACCATTAATTTTCCCGTCTCCCGTAGGCTAGGCCTGGCCGAGCGCCACCTTGTCTTTTGTCCATTCCTGATGGATGTACAACCTAACATTGATGGGTATAGTGATGTCGTCCATCGGATGAGGCACATTCGTCTCTTCTTCGTCGAGCGGGGTTGATCCGTAGCTGCTGCGACCCCTAGGAGTAGGGTTTTGTGGTACTACAGACCCCTTGGACAACAAAATTTGCTCGACTCGTGCTTCAATGGTCACCTCAATCCATGCTTCCATTCTGTCTTCCATCTCTTTTAGTCTCCTCAAATACTCTGCCTCATGTTCCGCTCTACCCCTCGAGCGGCTCCGGTAAGTGTAAGATTCTTGGGGGAATGCTAGTTTCCAAGGAACAACACCGGTTCCTCTAGTGTGACCAAGGTGCTCCTTGGTTCCAAGTGCTTGGGTGAGCACGTCTTTCTCCCTATTAGAAGCGTGAGTCCCTTGCCTCACCTCCTCAGTTACCTGGGAGATCCTCTAGATGAGTTCGCTCATGGGTTGATTTGAGGAGCTAAAGCTCCCGTCCTCGGTGTGCCATACATTTTCCCCATACAGTATAATACCGATCTGGGCTCCCAATCGGCGGTCTCAACCTGAACGCCTTCCTCAGCAAGGCGATCCATCTTTTGAAGTTCTGCTTCAAATTTGGCATCTTTTTGGCGTAGCCACGAGAGCCGAGATGATGAGGATTCGCTCTCTTTCTGTGAATTTTCCTTATTCTTCCCTTTCAGTTTCTAAGTACTCCTCGGATAACCTATATTCCTTGAAAGCCCGCCAAGTCCTTCGCTTGCTAAAACCGCCCCACCATCGAATCGGCTCTTTATTTTGGAGGACAAAATTCTTGTACAATGTCCCCTTGAAATTCTTGAAGCATGTTCCCATGATTTCTTTTGCTTTTTTCTTGACTAACTCCCTATCATACTCGGCTGGGAAAGTGAAATACTCTGGGATCTTGACATCCCATATGTAATCCTTCTCGCTTTCGGGAACCCTCCACCGGTCATCATCTTTCCCAATCCACTTCCTGTACTTAATCGGGATGAAGTCCCTAACAAGTAACCCGAGGATAGTCTTGTATTTGGTCAAAGCTATAGGCGGTGAGAGTGGATCCCCGAATTCATCGAACTCAGTAATGTGCTGGTGTGCATTCCTACCAACAGGAATCTTTGACATGCCTCACTTGGATCTGGCCTTCCTGTAATCCGAACCCTTTGGCTCCTCGGCGGAGGAGGCTCTCGCTAGAGACACCAAGTAAGGTATGACCCTCTCAATTGATTAGCG